CCGACTTTGTAAGTGGAAAAACTGAGTGTTTCACTAGCAAGAAAACAGTTAAACAGAGCATCTACAGCGTGAGAATGAGGGATGAGCCTCCTCATTGTGTACATTCCCTTTTACTCTCGTGGATAGGGAAACGTGTTGTATGCACAGACATCCATTAGCCTAAAAAATTAGTTTTGTTTGTTAAGCGCAAAGATTTGTTTCAAAACTATTTCTAAATTCAGTTATAGTTCCAGCAAATGAATAAATGTACACTTATAACGAAGTGTGTTCAAAACAACTGAGTAATATCCAAATACACATGCTATGCCCCATATGGTCAAAAACCTGACAGGTGGGCAAATCTAAGATTGTTTTTTAATAAAACAAATATAAATATGGATATAATACATAATACTGCTAATAATAATAATAACATTATACAAAAGCAAATTGTCATGAACAAACTGAAAAAAGCCCCCCTGGAGATGAAGAAGGAATGAAAGTATAATTTTTATATTTATCTAGGCTACAAAATAATGTTTTGTAATATTTTAATCCTTTATATGTATGTATATATATATATATATCCTTAATAATCCTTATATATCCTTAATATTTTTATTCTTTTTCATTTGTAAAGATATTTGTTTATTGTTGTACATTCTGTCTGTATTAAGCAATGTGTAAGCGAGGCACACAACTATGGCGCTCTGCACTGGACAATAGACCGACTTTGTTCTGGTCTGTTGAACAATCTATTATAGTTTCTCAAAATAGCAACGCGCCAGCAATGCACCCCTTTTTAGATCAGAACGCTTTTGGAAGCACAAATGAGCGCAAATGCATTTGCTATTTAAACAGAGTTCCGCAAAACGTCAAAACGACTCTTGCGCCAAGCTGAAACTAGCAAACAACAATTGTGTCGCACCATGTGCCACATTGCGCCGGGTGTATGATAAGGCCCATTGGCTTTTTTAGCAAAGCCTACAGCCAACAAAGTTTGGCGACAACAAAAAACGATGCACATTCACCACATGTATTTATACTTCATATTTGAATTTAAATGTTCCCATCAAACCGGTTTAAACACCCACAATCCTCACCAGCGCAACAGTGTCTCTATGCGGACGCTTTCCTTGCATTCTAAATCTCAAATAACAAACTCGTAAAAGATATGTGAAACTTACATTTGCCTATTTCGAATATAGTGAAAGACACTTGTCAGATTGTGACGGTGGTTGTTTGTAATAAATAAATCTTATATACAGTTTATAATAAGAAAAAAAAATAATAATTCAAATCTCAAAAAGTGAACTCCGCGGGATTCGAACACGGGACCTCCTGCACCGCAGCCGAACGCTCAACCGCTGGTCCACGTGGGTACTGCACTAGCTGGCTTTCACACGTCCCTTAATCCCACTGCCAGCGGACCTCAAACAAAAAAAAAATTAATAGTTACCATAATTAATAAATCTTTGGGCGCCAGACAAGATTAACTTGCCAAAAATTAAATTAAAACCCTGGATAGCCGCGGCAAACACTCAACCACCATACACACAAAGAGAAGAAAATAAAGATAACCCAACACACACTTTAAATTAAATTAACTGGTATATTTTTAACAAGCAGTACAACAAAAAGGTTTTCTAAATCAAACTATATACTTTTAATCACTGTTCAGTCATAGATCATAGTCAAAATTAGCACTTCTTAGGTAACAAAAGGAAACATCAAACAAACAATTCAAACACTTCAATAATAATGTTTAGATAACCCAAAAGAAAACAAACAAACAAACAATAATAATGTGTGGCTGATCGACTGAAAACAAGAGAGGGAAAAAATGTAAAGAAAGCCTATGTGATAACGTTGTAATGTGTGTGTGGAATGTGCGGGTGTATGAATGGATGCAAATGGACAAAAGTTACTGACCCAGGGACACCGAAGCCGTTCTGCACAGGTCCACTTTTTCCATCGAGAATTTCAGACCCCTCGCACACAATACTAGAGAGATCGCCTGGTCACCACGTCCACGAATTGCTTCCACCCCTCAGTTTTTTCCTCACACAGTCATTGAAACCAACAAGCTCTCCACCTTACACCGTTCTTCTCCTCCTTCTCCAATTCTTGCCACCAAATACCCGACACCAAAACAACCAGAAGCCCCTTCTCTGGCCTTTTCTCCCTCTTTTATAATCTCAGATTGTTTACCTGCCCTTCCGCTTCCTCCCGACCCCCGGAAGTATTGTCTGGAAGCGATAGGAAGGACCGGTCGGAGCAGCGCCCCCTAGTGGCACTTGAGAAAAATAAACAATAAAAAGCATCCATCTCGCCACACTCTCCCCCCCTTCGTGAGAACAACCCATGTTGTTCAATGCTCACGAGGATTTACATTTTTAAAATCTTTTTTGATCCTGTTGTGGGAGGATCTTTGTGCAATTTTTCTCCCTTGCTTCCAGCTCCTCTGCCGTGGGAAAACATGGTTTAAGATTACACACATGAACATTTCTCACATCCTCACCAGTGTCTTCAAGAGATACCTGGTAGTTCACAGGACCTAGCTGCTGGATAATGCGGTATAGTCCTTTCCACTTTGGAGCTAGTTTAGCACTGAAGTGATGTTGTGCACTAGAGATGGGAAAATTACGGACCCATACACGCTCTCTTTCTCTGAAGAACACGTCTCTTCTGTTCTTGTCATAGCTCCTTAACTGCCGTTTTTGAGCCTTTGTGTAATTTTCTTTGGCTTGCCTTTGTAACTGTGTTATTTTGTGTACCATGTCGTATGCAGGCTTGGTTGGTGAGAGATCACGTCTGTGCAGCAGTTTATCCATGGGACTGTGGATTTTCCGACCTAGGTGAAGTTCGGCAGGCGTCATCCCAATGGATTCCTGTATTGCAGAATTTAAAGCAAAACGTAACTCTGGTAAGTATGTATCCCAGGTCTTGTGGTTGTCCTCCACAAACCCTGCAATCATAGACTTCAGAGTGCGATTCACTCTTTCTGTCATGTTGGTCTGTGGGTGATAAGCAGTGGTAAGTTTTGGAGTGATGTTCCATTTTCCACACAGCTCTGTGAATAAAGAAGAAACAAACTGCGCTCCTCTGTCTGACAATATGAAGTCAGGGACTCCCCACCGAGTCAACATTTCTTGTCTTAGTATGGTGGCAATGGTCTGTGCTGTGGCATGCCGCATGGGAAACAGTTCAACCCATTTGGAGAAATAGTCGACAAATACGAGTAAGTACTCATTTTGTTTTCCAGACTTCGGCATTGGACCCATTATATCCACTCCCCACATCTCATTTGGTCGTGATGTTGTAACTTGTTGTAACTTGCCAGCAGGTTTCCGGTTGTCCCATTTGGTGACTTGACATTTGGCACAATTTTTGACATATTTTTTTATGTCTGTCCACATTCCTGGCCAATAAGCAACATCTTGTATTCGCTTGTACGTCTTGTAAATTCCCAAGTGTCCGCTTAAGGGAGTATCATGGTACCATTCCAGTACTGTTGGTCTAAGAGTAGATGGAATGACTACTTTGTAGTGAACAGTTTCATCTGCTAGGTGGGTGATGTGATACAGCTTGTCTTCCAACACAGTGTACTGGGCTTGTTCCTGTTGCTCATTTTTGGCCAGAGCTTGAAAGATCTTCATAATGTCTGTGTCTTGATGTTGTTCCTCCCAGATGGTTTGTGGGGTGACAGGGAAATCAGGCAGATCCTTTTCCGTGGTGTACAAGTTACAGCCTGGCATGGAATACATACGGGACAACGCATCAGGAGCAACATTCAGCCGTCCTTTTCTGTACTCGATCACAAAATCATAGCGTTGCAAGCGCAAGGCCCATCTCATGAGTCGACTGGCTGGTTTGGTGGAATTCATGACCCATTGCAGAGCGGAATGGTCTGTAACCACTGTAAACATTCTAGGTTCCAGGTAGTGTTGCCACTTGTCTAAAGCCCACACCACAGCCAGACACTCTTTCTCCGTGGTGGAGTAATTCACTTCTGCCTTAGTCAAGGTTCTACTGGCATAAGCAATTACTTCTTCGCCACCCTGCTCTTTACGCTGGGTCAAAACAGCCCCTAGTCCTGAGTCACTGGCATCAGTATACACAGTAAAAGGTATGTTAAGATCTGGATGGCCCAGGATGGGAGGTGTGGTAAGACAGAACTTTAGATTGTCAAATGCTTGCTGGCATAGTGAATCCCACTTGAATTGTCGTCCTTTCTTTTTCAGATTATTCAGTGGTTCAGCAATGCGTGAAAAATTTGGTACAAAACGGTGATACCATCCTGCCAGTCCTAAGAATCGCTGAACATCCTTAAGGTTTTGTGGGACTGGGTAAGCGTGAATGACCTCTACCTTCTTGGGGTCAGCTGCAACTCCTTGGTGACTCACTACGTGTCCTAGAAAGGTAATTTCAGGTAGGCAAAAGGAACATTTTTTTAGGTTTAGGGTTAGACCTGCTTTTTCCAGTCTCTCCAAGATGGTCTGGATGTCGTAAAGATGTTGGGTCAAGGTGGGTGAGTAAATGACAATGTCGTCAATATAGACGTAGCAAATTTTCCCAAGTAAATCTCTCAGGACGATTTCCATCAAACGTTGGAAGGTAGCAGGAGCATTTTTCAGTCCAAAGGGCATAACATTAAAATGATATAACCCTCTAGAGGTGATGAATGCAGTCATCAACTTGCTTTTGTCATCCATTGGTACCTGCCAAAATCCACAGTTGAGGTCCAAGGATGAGAATGTGGATGCTCCAGAAAGAGACTCTAAAATCTCTGTGATGTTAGGTATTGGATAAGCATCACTTTCTGTCATCGCATTTAATTTTCTGTAGTCCACACAGAACCTAAGACTGTTGTCTTTCTTAGGAACAAGAACTACTGGAGATGCCCATGGAGAACAAGACTGTTCGATGACACCAGCCTTTAGCATCTCTTCAATCTGTTCCTCTACTATGGCTTGTTTTCCAGGTGTCAACCGATAAGGACGTTGCTTAACGGGTACTGGGTGAGTGGTGTAAATGCAATGTTGAAGAACAGTGGTTCTTCCAAGCTGAAGAGTACAGACTTTTGGGTTTGACTGGAGAAGATGAAGTAACTGTGGCTTACTTTCTAGTGGTAAGTGTGCTTCGGCAACAGCCATCTCAATCAGAGCTTGATCATCACTACTGGGTGCAAGTTGGGATACTACTGGAAACGGTAATGGTGGAGGAATAGAGCTGAGCAGAGATAGTGTCTTACTTGAATGTTGGGTTTGTGCATTTTTGTTCAAATGTTGGGATCTTCCCACAGGAACACTAGCATGTCCAGGTTGAAAAGGATACTCTTCATTAGGGTTGGACTTAAAAGAGTATGTCTGGTCAACTACATTAATCTGTAGACCACTTGAATAAATGAAATCTAAACCCAAGACTACAGAGTAAGCCAAGGCTTTTGGAGTGAGAATGGCAGCTTGAGTAGGAAAAACTTTGTTATGCAATATGATTTCAAAATTCGTCCATCCTAAAGGAACTTCGGCTTCTCCATTGGCCAGATAGAGTGGGCCAAGTGTCCAGGGATGGAGGCTGGCTTGGGGATCGATCTCCTTCCACAAATTCTCATGGAGTAAAGTGTAACTGGCACCCGTATCCAATATGGCTTTTCCTCTCCAAGCCCCAATGTAAATTGGAACTATCAGCTGTTGTGGTATGACCACAGATTTAGTAACCGTCGACTTGGGTAATGACTTTGAAGGAAGTGTAACAGACATGGCATTGTTAGATGGATTACCTCCGTGCTTTTGGGTCTGAAAATAACGTTTATTTCCTGTAGGAGGAGGGTGACTAGATGATTGAGTGGTTTGCACAGAGGAGGAATAGTGAGGACAACTACCTGGTGGATGCAGACCTTTGCATCTCCAACACAAAACTGGAGGTTTCTCAACTCGGTTGGGGGCAATTCTTTGTGGTGAGGGTTGAGTCACATGTTCTACATAATGTAACTGCTGAACATAATCCTTCTCAAGCTGAAGGCCCAGTTTAACCAACTCATCCACTGTATGGACACGGCTTCGAAGTTGGCTGGCTAGGTGAGGTTTTATGTTTTTTAGAATCATTTTTACTAATTCACTCTCAGTTAGTGTGGGCTTCCATCGTTTACACATTGCTCTGTATGTAAAAGCAAAGTCTCTAATTGACTCTTTCTCTGCTTGTGTTCTAGTTCTAACCCTCTCTGCCAGCTCATCCTCATAGTCTTCTGAAAGGAAAGCTGAGAGAAAAGCAGTTTCAAACTCACTCCATGTGGAAATAGCAGAGCGAGCCACTTCCCACCAATCCCGGGCTGTACCGTACAGGACAGTGCGGAAGGTAGCTAGAATGTCTGGATCATCTAGAGGGTGTAAGGCCAGGAAATCTTTGCAGCGTGTTACATATAGCAGTGGATCAGCATCATCCGAAGGTCTTCCAAACGTTGGAAAAGTTAACTTTAAATGATCACTTTTTATAACAGGTGTTTGAAAAGGCATTGGAGCAGTCACTGAAGATGAAGATTGTGTTGAAACGGATACAGGTGCACTGCTTGGAGGATCAGACACTTGCTTTATAGGTGGGATCACATCACTTACTTCTTTTTGAAGATAGTCAAGTTGTTTTTTTATGGCATTAATTTCAGTGCTGCAGTGATTTAGATCACTGGAAAGGCGTTCAAAATTCTTGTCAGAGTGTTCCTTGGTAGCTTGAATATCCTTCTGCAATTCCAACTGAGCTTGTTCCACCATGAAGCGAATCTCTGAAATTAAGGTACTTTCACTCCTTTGGATTTCTTGTGTCAACATCACCTTCACAGCTTTAGTGAGTTGATCCGCTGTCTCTGTGTCATCTTTTCGTTGTGCAGTTAAGGTGTTCAGGAGTTGCTGATGAGTGGATTCCATTTTTGCAAGCTTTGCTTCATGCAGGGAAAAAGATTTAGACGATTTTTCGGTGAGTTCCTTCACAGCTTTATCTTGCCGTTTCAGACAGTCAAATACACGATCCCAGTTTCCTTGTACATGAGCAGTAAGTTGATGAATTTCTCTTCCAGGTGTAGGGAGGTATCCAGGAAGAGCATGCTGGGTTGCTGTGGAGGGCGGTGATTCTACCGTGGATGCACTTGTGCACAGTTGCATTGGGTCAGGTTGAACTGTAGAAGTAACACCTGGAGTGGTGGTGTGGAAATGCACTTGAGTCCTTCCATAAGGGTCTAACTGAGTGGGTGTGGAGTGGTATGTGGGAATGTTGGAAGGTGATGAGAACTGTCTTTGCTGCACTGGTGGCCAAACTGGAGTGGCTATATCTGGTGGATCAATATCCACGGAAGTTGAAGGGGAAGGATTGACGTTGGCCATGTTTATAGTGTGTATGAGTGTAATCTAAGGGTTTTGAAAAAATTTAAATCAAAAAAGAAAATGTTGTCTTTTTAGTCAATGTGGTCACAAAAAATATATATATAGAGAGAGATGTCAAAAGTACCACAAGTACCAAATTCACAAGGTATTCAAAATCAGTACAATTCCTGTACAATGACACAAATGTTCTATAACAACTTTTTTTTTTTTTTTTTTTTTTTTTTTTTTACAAAATAGTTTTTTCCAAAGTCTTTATCAGTAAAGCAAAACAGTTCAAAAAGTCAAAAGGTTGTTGTCAACTGAAATCAGTCAAACAATTCAAATGAGTTTCAAAGTTAAAAATTTCCCAAAATAAAGTAAGGTTTCAATGGTGTTCAATGTCTTATAAAGTGTTCAGTTTTTTTTTTTTTTTTTTTTTTTTTTTTTAAGTGTTCAGGGTCCCTCTTCGGGCGCCACTTATGTGACGGTGGTTGTTTGTAATAAATAAATCTTATATACAGTTTATAATAAGAAAAAAAAAATAATAATTCAAATCTCAAAAAGTGAACTCCGCGGGATTCGAACACGGGACCTCCTGCACCGCAGCCGAACGCTCAACCGCTGGTCCACGTGGGTACTGCACTAGCTGGCTTTCACACGTCCCTTAATCCCACTGCCAGCGGACCTCAAACAAAAAAAAAATTAATAGTTACCATAATTAATAAATCTTTGGGCGCCAGACAAGATTAACTTGCCAAAAATTAAATTAAAACCCTGGATAGCCGCGGCAAACACTCAACCACCATACACACAAAGAGAAGAAAATAAAGATAACCCAACACACACTTTAAATTAAATTAACTGGTATATTTTTAACAAGCAGTACAACAAAAAGGTTTTCTAAATCAAACTATATACTTTTAATCACTGTTCAGTCATAGATCATAGTCAAAATTAGCACTTCTTAGGTAACAAAAGGAAACATCAAACAAACAATTCAAACACTTCAATAATAATGTTTAGATAACCCAAAAGAAAACAAACAAACAAACAATAATAATGTGTGGCTGATCGACTGAAAACAAGAGAGGGAAAAAATGTAAAGAAAGCCTATGTGATAACGTTGTAATGTGTGTGTGGAATGTGTGGGTGTATGAATGGATGCAAATGGACAAAAGTTACTGACCCAGGGACACCGAAGCCGTTCTGCACAGGTCCACTTTTTCCATCGAGAATTTCAGACCCCTCGCACACAATACTAGAGAGATCGCCTGGTCACCACGTCCACGAATTGCTTCCACCCCTCAGTTTTTTCCTCACACAGTCATTGAAACCAACAAGCTCTCCACCTTACACCGTTCTTCTCCTCCTTCTCCAATTCTTGCCACCAAATACCCGACACCAAAACAACCAGAAGCCCCTTCTCTGGCCTTTTCTCCCTCTTTTATAATCTCAGATTGTTTACCTGCCCTTCCGCTTCCTCCCGACCCCCGGAAGTATTGTCTGGAAGCGATAGGAAGGACCGGTCGGAGCAGCGCCCCCTAGTGGCACTTGAGAAAAATAAACAATAAAAAGCATCCATCTCGCCACAAGATTTTATTTTAGAGAGCAGGCGTGAGGTTCAGCTGTGTCCTTTTCATTTTCTGTCTGATTCAGACAGAACAGTTACTAACAGTTACTCTTACTGACATACACAGCAGAGGCACTGTGCATGCTTGTGGAGGTGTGACATTTTTCCTGGTACATAATTGGATACTTTTCCAGCACATTATGTTAGCCTACCAATCAGAGCCTCTTGAGGGTTAGATTATATTATTATATTATTATAAGAATATGATTGTCGTTTTCATGTTAGCTGAGTAGTTGTATATAATCAAAGTAGGATACCTGTATATGAAAAAAATACATGATTTTTTTACAAATGAAGCATGATTTGCATCTTTTAAACACAACCAAGCCACAAAAATACACTCTGAACCACCCCTTTAATTACTTAAATAGGACAATAAGGGCAGACTTTGCTCAGACAAAAGTTTTGTCACTTAACATGAATTATGCACAGTATAGAATATAAAGTCATGGTGCAGTGGAAAAAGAATTAATATTGTGTTTGACTCTCATGAGCTTGGACGACTGCATCCATACATCTCTGCAATGACTCAAATAAACTAATGAATTAAGTCACCTGGAATGGCAAAGTAAGTGTTCTTCCAAAAGATCATTTGAGATATTCCAGGTATTTAAATTAACATTGTAAGGAATATGGCCGACCAGACACATAAATATTTTGCATTTTATTCCACAACCAGCCAACTTTGCCCAGAGAAGGCTCAAAACCTGATTCCAAGGTATTTACGACCCAAAGGAATGTGCCATGCACAATTAAAGGGCCATGACACCCCCCTCTTTCGGTTAAAGTCTACTTCAGAATTTTTTCAAAAGATGCATGATTAATGGGCGTGGAGCTCCGCGAGCATCGGGCTGGAGTGGGCGTGGCCAGCAGGGGAGAAGGGGAGCAAATAACTGCTGTTGTCATTTAGCTTACAAAATGAGACACAAAGAGGAGACGCATGAGTTTATAGTTTACAAAGTTAAAATGCAAAGAAATGAACAGTGATTTAATGCCCTGCTACATTTGTTATTCGTAATTTCATATACAGACAACCACAATTTATATCATTATAAAGATGTGTGTTCATGTAAACACTATAAATGAGTACTTCTCCCTCAATCCCCGTATCCAGCAGACTCAGTGCAGCAGGTCTCCTGACCCGTCTATTTTAATCATTAACCCTGCTGGTAATCTGGAGGATTTAGGCAAACACAGCAGCACGGCGATGTGTCTGAATGTGAACGAACTCCTGATGAAAGACAGCGTCCGCCATTCTCTAATTCTCGTGCTGCTCTCCCGACAAAAATGCTAGCAGCACGCACACAGCTTTGCTGTATGATCGGCCCTGACAAGATCGCGGGGAAAACATGCAACAAACCCTGTGGATGATGGAAACAAACGCATATGAGCCTTCATGAACGGCTAAATACTGTGCCGTGGTTTCCGTGTCTCTCAGCTCGGGCTTGACACTGGCAGGTCTGGCAGGTCTCATGAATAATTCAGCAGCCGGCTCTTCTCATAGGATAAGAAAACTCCGCTATGAATAATAATGAGAAACCGACGCGTCATCATTGCACTTGCAGTTCTGCGATACGTCGCCGATTTTGATCCCGCCCCAAAAATCATTTTAAACCCGGAAGCTGAAATTATCTGACAAAAGCTCAAAATTATCCAGTTTTCCCCACAATTAAAGCTGACAGGTGCTAACATTGTCTTAACTGATGCTCAACACACACACATCTGTTAATTTAAAAAAAAAAAGTTCTCCGGGGTGTCCTGAACCTTTAAACACAGGGACGACTTAGAAAAGAATCTTTAAACTGCTTGTTTAACACTGACGTTTTCATATAAACTTTACTCTCTTTATGTTTAATAATATGTTTTGCAAAGTTTCCCTTTTTTCTTGTATTAATATTTTTGGTTTTAATACCCCTGCATATAATGTTTAACTTTACCTAGGCTAAACATCCTCTTATACTGTTCAAGTTTGGACTTTTTGAAAAGCTTACTCGCTGTACAAATCGATCGTTAACATTTTATTTTAATATGAGTGCAACATATTAACGTTTTAAGAGACTTTAACATTTCTGTCCCGATTTGCATAAAATTTACCTATGCAAATTCTTCTGCCTCAGACAAAGAGCTGTAAATTACTATTCCAGGAAGTTAACTTCTACTTGGTCAACTTTCCATGGAGGGTGGATCCGAACCCGCCCTATATATAAGTTAGGACCAAGCTAAACTCTTTGCACACTCTCTGTTCAAACTCTCCTGGGACCTCCCTTGGCACCTCTCTCTGCTCTGAAACACGCTGCCTGGGAGCTCCCCCTCTCTCTCCCAACTCCAAGCAACCCCCCTCTCTGCTCCAAAGACCTCTGTTTTGAAACCTTCTTCAACTCTATACAACTTCCTTAGAGACTCAGAAACCTCCAAGAAAGCAGGCAGAAACCCAGACAGAAAGGGTTAATCGCACCGTGTTCAGATATTGCACCGCCCAGAATCCTCTTTGCCGCTTCAACTTGAAACTACAACCTCGTGAGGAACAAAGAGCAACATCAACAACGTGCTCAATAACCTTTTTCCCACATCTTAACTGGTGTGAACTAAAATTCAACCCTAAAGAGACAATAGAAAGGTTATATTAAATTTGATTACGTTTGGTTGCTTAGTTTGTTCTTACAAACCCAGAGGTTTTCACATCATTACATCTTCTCAACCTCTTCACGTTTGTTACTCTCCCCTATGCTTGTATGAATGTGTGTTTGTGTTAGGTGTTAGTTTTTGTTAGATTAGTCAATAAAGTCTAATTTTGTATAAAGAAAGGTGCCTGTGTGTATTAATGAATCTAATGTCTTGAACTTTGATCTTGCTACCCTGCTCAAATTTTATGTTGAAAGCATCGCTGAACGATTCGTTTGTTCGGATCAAAAGAGTCGATTAATTTGAAGCCCCGTTCAAATAAATCTTCCTCCCGCTAAGCTAGTCCACTATATAATGTTCCAAAAGGTACGCGAGCATTGAAATCTAAATCATAACTCGCAACATTATAACAGCGGGAAAGGCGTGGGAAGAATAACCTTGAGCTAATTTACTACAGTAATAATGGTGTAGATATGCGAGCACTTTAATCTACAGTATAATTTGTCACAGATTATTAATGTGGATATGCGTGCAAGTTAATCTATATTATTATTATGATGTGCTACCTGTTTATTTGTGGAGAATAAACAAAGCATGAATTATGTAATTTATTACAACATACTGGAAATTACATCAAAGTTAAATTCAATAATTGAACACAAAATATGATATTTTGAAAAATGATAATAGCTATTGACTTCCATAGTATTATTTCCCTACTATGGAAGTTGATGGGTGCTTGCAAGCAGCATGTTCCAAAACATATTTTGTTTAAGAGAAGAATAAAACTCATAAAGGTTTAAAACCACATGGGAGAAAAAATGATGAGGTTATTTTCATTTTTGGGTGAACTATTCCTTTAACAAAGTTCTTAATAAGTGAATGAAAATATGTGAGGATTAAATAGAAACAGAACCCATATTTTAGTGTTGATGGGTTACTTTCACCACTGAAGAGGCAAAGAGTCTAAACTGTTTCTTAAAGTTTTGCTGCAGTAGTAACTGTTTGCATATTTTACATGCCTTCAAGCAAATTCAGCAAAAAGTTATTTATAACGTTATTTAAAAGTTTCTCACCGCTTGATGAACACTTCTACTATACTGCAGCTTGTAAAAGAAATGAGGCTCATGACAGGGTCGGGCAGCACCATCTATCTGTGTGGTAACTATTTTACAACCAGGTCAAAAGCACTGGAGAGTGTGACATTTGGAGAAAAAATGAAGTAATCTTTAGTCTTAAAATGAACTGATTAATAGGAGTGATCAATATCTCTGTAGAAAAGTCATAATAATAAATAATCTCTTGCAGCAGGGCCGTTCTCAATAAAAAGTTGGTCAAGTGAAAATACTGTCTGCATGCCTCAATATCTCAACACACAATTCTGCTAATTTTAAAACGTCCACCGGTCAGGCTAAGCAGAGACAGACAGATTAATCATTTGACTCACAAT